TGGCGAGTTTTGAAGGTTTTTTGGCACTCTTTTGCTTCTAGCTCCTTCACTATTGGAGATATTTGAAAACCGTCAATAACGCGATTAATGCGCACCCAATTTCCAAAATGTTGACGTTCCAAACATTGAAATCGAATACAGGACTTTGGAGTTATGGCCAATTTTCAAGGATTTTTGACACTCTTTTGCTTGTAGCTCCTTTGCTATTGGAGATATTTGAAAACAGTCAATCACACGCTTAAAGCGGATTTAATTTGCAACATTCTGGCGTCTAAAACATTGAAATCGAACATAGAACTTTGGAGTTATGGCCAATTTACAAGGTTTTTTGACACTCTTTTGCTTGTAGCTCCTTTGATATTGGAGATATTTGAAAACAGTTAATTACACGATTAAAGCAGACCGAATTTCAAGAATTTCGGCGTTTAAAATACTGAAATCAAATAGCGAACTTTGGAGTTATGGCCAATTTTCAAGGTTTTTTGACACTGTTTTGCTTGTAGCTTCTTTGCTATTGGAGATATTTGAAAAAGGTCAATCACGTGATTAAATCGGACTCTCCTGTCCTCCATCCTGCTGGTGAAGGTTTCTCCATGTGGAGGTCACTGTTGAAGGTGCAAGCAAAAGAAAGCCGTTCTCTCGCGGGAAGCTCATCTGCTCTTTAGTGAATTTCTTTCTTGCATAACTGTCATTTTGAAAGCTCGAGGGAAACTAGTAAAACTTCTGCAAACTCCAGTTGATTGTCCTCCATCTTTCTCGTGAAACCTTCCCCATGTGGAGGTCGCTGTTGAAGGTACGAGCCAACTAACTTTGTCCTCCTCTAAGGCACTTGGCTGACTTTCGCCGCCTCCTAACTAGGCAAGTTTCTACAGCAGAAAGAAACTCAAACCACCTTTAGAAACTCCATTAAAGCCTCTTTGATTTTGGTGTTAGCGACTTTTCAAACCGACCATCATCAAGGAAGTTACGGGCAACTGAAGTATGTTCTCTCCTAAGACCTCCAACTGCACTTCAGTCAACTTCTCTGCCCCCCAACTCAGCGAGTTTCCAAAATTGGGAAAAACTACAACCAGTTTCGGAAACGCCGTTTCAGTGGCTTCAACTTTGCTCTTTACCGGGTTTGAATCACACTGTCGCCCTCAAAGTTACAGGCAAAAGCAGGCGGTTGCCTCCACTAACCCTCAACAGCACTTTGAGCAACTTCCCAGCCTCCCAACAACTCCCACAGGTGCAAAACACTGCTTAAAAGCCCGTTTGAAGATCTTCCAGGTTGGTTCAAACAATTTTTCGCTGAAATTTTTTTTTTCGAAAAAATGAGGCTTGAAGCTCCAAATTTTTCATAACCCCGAAGTTTTTCATAACCCGAAGAAGATGATTTAATGTTCTTTCGTACAAACTGAAAATGGTGAAAATCGGCCGGGTATTAAGGAAGTTATGGGCAAAAGAGCAGTTTTTTGAAAAAAACTGCGAAGTCGCCTCCTTTGACACAGAGAGCAAGTTTGCCCCCTAACTTCCTTAGCACTGGGGCGATTTGCATCGCGTCCACTTTGCTGAAAAGCGCACGAGTTCGGCAAAACAGGGCCGGTTTGCGATTGACAATCCAGCCAAAAGTGTCAAAGTTATCAGCTGTCAAAGTGGGAAAACCCCCCCACTCTATGACCGGTGCAAGTTTTGCGCGTAACTTCGTTAATACTGGAGGGATTTTCAAAATTTCAACTTCCCCGAACACGTCAGGGTGTCCCAAAAAAACCCACCAGGCCAATAACGCAAAAACGTGGCAGCTGCAAGCAATTTTCTGCCCCAAAACCGACCCCCCTATCAGTGCTGCACGCTCCAGCCGAGATCGATCCATGCGAGCCGCCCGACCACTCCAGACTAAAGTAAATTGGAGATTTTTCAAAGCAATTTGTAAGTGAAGGGAATTCATTGCAGCAACATCGATAAAATATCGTCCAGTCGGGCGCACAGCGTTCCGAACAATCGGCAACCTTTGACGGCACCAATCGCATGATTGGCTTGTTGCCGCTGCTGCTGCATCAACATAATTCATCGGGAAACAGTCACGCAGTGTTGCCACATTGGGCCGATCGGCCTATTTGTTGCACGCCCCCTGTAAGGAGCGCTGGCCGCCACGCGGCCCGTTCCAGCCACGCGATTGGCTTAAACAGCCGTCGGCATGGCAACGGGTGAGTTTACCGGGGCCGATCAATAAGATTGATGGTTTCGGCGATGGGGTTTTCTCTATTTTTATAACAGTTTTCCATATTGACCGGTGGACACTTCAGTGGATGGAAGTGACTAATGAAAGGCGAGCATTTCGAGCGAAAAAACACTGCCAGCCTGATATTCGATGAGATATTGAAAGCGGCATCGTTATTATAGAAATCATTTTTCATTCGTGTGATTTATTCGAATGGCTTTTTTCCGTCTTTTATGAAAAGAGTGAAATTCGGTTCGGTGGCTGATTTTTTGGCGATTTGTCAACGTCGGGGGTGCGAGGGGTCGATTTTTGGGCCCGCGAGGGCAAGGGGGGATTGGAGGCAGTTGATTGGGGGGCTTTGGAATGGTGTGGGAGGCGATTTCTTCGGCTGGCATCCTGCTCAGCTCAAGGGTGCGGTTTTGGGCGGTTGCCTGGGTAAGGGCGGGTGGGTTCCAAAATCCAAACAATTGGGCAGCAAGCGGCTGAAGTTCCCTATTGGGGAGTTTTGGAATTTTGAAAATCCGTTGAGAAACGTCGGAGTTATGAGCGATTTTTGGGTTGAAAAATTCTGACTTTTTCCCCCCAATTTTGGAGCCTTCATATTTTTGACGTTTTGAGCTGAAAGTCAAATGTCAAACATGCGAATTTTTGGAAAAATCGTGGGCTGTTCAGGGCCGCTTAAATTTTCCAAATCGGACCGCCGCCAAGAAAGATACTGGGAAAAATGTTACTGTCAAAAATGTTTTTTTTTTGCAAAAACTCCTGTTTCTACTCAACAAAAGTTTTCCGAAGTGCGCGCTCAAAGCGACAAATTTGCAATTGTCATAAAAAACAAAATTTCCAAAATTTTGAAATTCGAATTTTTCAAGTCACCCTCGTTTTAAGACAGATACAGTCTAAATTTCCATGCTCCCCCCCCCCCAAAAAGGTGTAACTTCACTGGTTTTCAACCGATTTCAACCATTCAGACGCCAAACTTTAGAAAATTGAATTCTCTTTAATCGCGTTATCGGATGTTTTCGAATAGCTCCAACTGCAAACGAGTTACGAGCAAAAGAGTGCCAAAAAAGTGCAAGTTTGCGCATAACTTACTTAATCCCAGTACGATTTCGAAAAACTCCTGCTCGTTTGAAAGCCCATACGTTTGTCGACCAGCGGCATTTTGGAAAACTGAAATCGACCCAAAAGTGCTCAAGTTATCAGCAATTGAAAACGAAAAGGGGATTTTTTGGGCTTTCAAACTTTCAATTTCAAAATTTTTTTTTAAATACTGAACACTCGCCCAACAGCTACCCAAAAAGCGAAAAATCGCCACGTTTGCGCCGCCAGTTCGCTCAGAAACCGGCTGCCGCCCTTTGAGGAAAAGAGCGACCAGTGCACTGGCGCATTCTTTAGCTCATAACTCGGTGAATTTTGAGTGTTTTAAACTCGAAAAAACTGTGATGAATTGAGAAATTAATGCGCTTACCGGTTACCGGCAAGAAGTTTTTGTATTTTTGAAAATCGTGAAAATCGACAAGCTGGCGCAATTTTCGCCATAACTTTCTTGGTAGTGGGCGTGTGGCAAAACTGAAAATTGGCCTCCCAAGCTAATGAATTTGTCAGTGTTTGGGCGTTTGATTTTTGCAAATCGCATAAAAAATGGCCGAGTTATGGGCAAAAATTGGTGTTTGGTTTTTGGCTTTTCGATTGTTCAACCCTTTTGGATTGGATTGGATTTGGACCTTTTTGAAAAGGAAATTTTTTGCGAAACGTGCTTAGTTCTGGTGCGATCGTAAAATTAAATTACAGCTTAGTGCTTTTTTGACGTTTTGGCTTTCAAAATTTCCAAATCCGATGAAAAACTTTTGAGTTATGATTTTTTTTTTGTGTTGGAAAAACAAGGTTTTAAAAGGTTTCTTTTTTCGGTTCCGTAACCTGACCACACGCCGAAAGCAGCTTCAGGGTCAAAATTGAATATTTTTCAAAAAACTGACGTTTCCAAAAATGGGCGATTTTCGGCATAACTTGCTTAGTCCTAGTGCGATTCCAAAAAACTACGGCTGATTTGAAAGCTGACGCTTTTGCCAACATTCGGCTTTTTGGGGATTTCAAATCGACCCAAACATGGGCAAGTTATCAACAATTGAACAAAGCAAACCGGATTTTTTCAGTTTCCAAATATTGAACTGCGAAGTTTGGTTCCGATATCTGAACACTCACTCAACATCTACCCGAAACGCGAAAAATCGCGCCGATTGCGCCGCCCGTTCGCTCAGAAAATGGCTGCCGCCCTTCAAGGGAAAGGGCGACCAGTGCACTGGCGCACTCTTTGGCCCATAACTCGGTGGATTTTGGTTGTTTTGAGCCGGAGAAAACGTTAAAACATTGGGAAATTCACGCCCGTCCCAATGGGCAGAAAATAGGTTCGAAAATCCAACTGAATTTGGGAAAAATTTTGGATTAAATCCCAAAAAAGCCCATAACTCGCTTGATGGTCATTCCAGCCGAAAAATGATAACCACCTTTTTTATGCGCGCTGATTCGCCCAGTCCAACGGTAAAATTTCCATCGCCCCAACAGGCAGCGTTTCGAGGCCATTGAGGCTTTTCCGCCTCAAAACAGACAAAGCCGGCTGGATAATGGCCCAAAACTATCAAGCCAATCTTAATAAAACCGCAACTGAAGCTGCCAGTCGACGCAAAAAGTGCACTTTAACAGGATCGAAATGGGGGCGACTCCCCAGTTTTGACAAACTATTAACTTGCGTCCCCGCAACTGCCGGAAAAGTGGGGGGGGCGGCGGACATTCCAAGTTCGTGTAGCGCGAATGCGGATAAACTTCTTCGGCTCTAACAAACTAATAAAGAAGCGCTAATGTACGTAATTTGCGCAAAAACCTTCCTTGGCCGCCCCCCATTTGTTTTTCGCCAACGAACTTAATGAACAGTTGGCACACGAAGCGCTGCGTTATTGTTTCAGCCAGCTTGAGGACGCTCTTTACGAGCGCCAATTATCGCACAGACTTTCCTGCTTTTTTGCCGCCCATCGATCGCCAATTATCTGTTGATTCGCTCGGAACGTTTCGCCTGCATTATTGGCACCCGTTCATCATCCCGCTCGCCCTGTGGATGGTAATTCGATTAAACCAGCCAAACCGGCAAAAAACCGCGCCGGATGTTCATTAGTGTCGAGGTCAAGTCCGTAAATTTAGCGCATTATTATCGCAATTTGTCCGGCTCCATTCGTTTACGGAACCGTAATTACAGCTGAACAACAATGGTGGATCGTAAATCTAGTCGGCGGCCTCGCGGCCGCTGCGTCTTTGTTGCTGCAGCAGGTGGGAAGCGGAGGAGCGCGTGGCAACGTTTGTGCAAACGTTACTGGCAAATCTGGCTTTAATTGAACCCTTGGAGGAGAAAGAACTGTCCAGCCTTCATCACAGTTTTCGAGAGTTGCAATTTTCCCACAGACTAAC